ACGTGAGCAGCTGCATGACAAGGTGGAGCTTACCTGGCTAGACACCAGGTAATTTGCAAAAAAACCCAAACCCCAAGTTCCCAAATCTCTACACAGTTGCACACCCGAGCCTGCTTATGAGAGGTCTGGGGCCATTCTCTAGGGACAGAACTGCGTCCATGGGCAGAAACCTGCATTTAAGACGATTCAATGTGACCACAAAACCACAGCCTCATGCCCAGCAGAGGTGAAGACAGTCACCACCACTCCAAGAGCAAGCTGTGGCTCTATTTTTTTGCATGAGAAAAGAGACAATTTGGCTGAAAAAAAGAAAAAATAAGTCTTCCTACTATTGAAAAACCAGAGTTTTGACCATCTGCACCACCACCAATAGGGACGTAAACAGGGATGGTCCCTGTTGTGTTTCTAACTAGTGGTTCCACTCTGGTAGTGCTGAAACAAGTCAGAACATCCCGTCAGCTTAAAGGGCAGAGGAAGTAAAAAGTACAAGTCTCCAAAGCATTCTGTGATTTATCCAAGTAGTTTCCAATTGTTGACTTCGTTCTGCAATTGCCATTTTCAGCAATTTGTTCTCTGCAGGTGGCAATGTACTTTAATTAGAGCAAATTTTGTGACATCCGACAGGCCTACACATGAGGAAAAATGCATGTGAATTTTTTTTTTTCTATAGACTACAGAAAGGGCATTAAAAAAATCGTAATGTCACTGAACAAAAAATGAGTGAATCCATAGATCCTAGGTAAAACTGTTGTCTAAATATGTGTCTCTTAAGAATGTCTTTTCTTTGTGATACAGCAAATGGAGTTTGGTGTTGGCTCTGGATGCCACGCAGAGCAAAAGATTGAGAGAGATCTCCTCCTGTGCAGGGACAGGGTGGATGCCAAACACAATCCTCCTTTCTAGGCCTGAGAAGCGTCTGATGCTGTCAAGAACGATGACGTTTTCTAAAACAGCTTCTGCTGACCCCAAGACCAACCTCACCCTGTGTTTCCGTATTTGTCTTCTTAGCTCAGGTTCCAACATCTGACTGAACGCCTGGGCTGCATGCTGTGTGCTGCACAGGATTGCAATGTCTTTGATGGGATAGCCTTGCTGGATATAGCTGTTGCACTGCCTGGTCACGTACTCTGCCATTTCAAAGGTTTCCATGTTTTTTTTTATTACATAGTCACCTGACAAAGAATGGGCACATTCAGCCTGTTCAAACAACTTTTCCAGCATCTCATAAGGCATATTTGTGTTACGTTCTTGGAGGATTTTCTCCATTAGATTAAAGATAACATTGTATATTTGCTTGGCATTACGGACCACTTCTGTCAACCATTCCTGAGGATATAGTTCTGAAAACTTAAGACCACAACTGTATGGGTGAGTGGACTGGAAGAAATCCAGGAAGACCCAGAAAATGCCACCTTTTTTCTTGACCAGCTCCCGGGCACATTGGTACCAATTTTCTTCAGAACGAAAATTCTGAGCTTCATCAACCACAATGTGTTTCACTTCTGGGAAGTTCCCATTTAAGAAAGCAATACGTGTCAGAGAGTGGCAGATCTCATTTCTGAAAAAAAAGAAAACCAAAACCAAACAAACCCAACCACCCCCCCCCAAAAAAAAAGGGTAAATAAAAAGAAGATGCAACCAGAGAAATCCATATTGACTGTCTCCATTTCTCAGTGGGCTTTTCCTTGGGGGGCTTTTGCTGCTTAGTGTCTAAAACTTACCTCAGCTGCAGCATGCTGTGTTGCTTTCCCGGTGGAAACATTTATTCCAAGGGATGGGCCATGTGCAGGCATGGCTGCGCAGCCTGCGTAGCCCCCATCACCTGGCTTTGGCTTTACCCTAGGAGGCGACTCAAGCCCACCCTTCCTCCAAGGGGACCCCATCTCCCTGGCCCAGGGAAGGCAGCACAGTGCTGGAGGTTCCACAGGAAGGACAGGTTTCCTTCTCCCCCAGGGTGAGTGGGGACTGGCAGCGCTTCTGCCAGGCCATCAGCCCGCTGGGGTCAGGGCCTGCTGCTTGGGTACAGCCGTGCCTGATCTAGGCTGCGATTCCCTGATGCAAGGTGCTTGTCCACCATGGTGGCCTGTTGACCCCTCCATGCTGACACAAGTGGAAACACAGCGAGACCAGGATTGGGGAACTGCTCTGCCTAAAATCCTCTGCCAAAAGGGCATCAGTTTCTGTTCTCCTTGGCCCAGGTCCAAGGGCCAGTTCCTAGCACAGCTGCACAGGAGCTGGCATCAGGCACTGTTGAGGCAGCAACAGAGAAAAGCAGGTGGGTAGTTCTGGGGTCAGCATCAGCCATAACAGGCAGTTAAAGTAAGGCCATCGTCTTTTAAAGGTCTAACACAATTCAGCAATCACTGAACATAGGATTCTCACAGAATTCAGTGAACGCTGGATCAGGGCCAGAGCTCAGCTCAACACTACTTTCAATATTAACACCTTTCTTGAGATGATTATTTTGTGTTTGTGTCAGCCAAAGTTATGTATTTGGCAATGAGTCATAAAATCAGCAGGGCTTGTGCTGTATGCACAGAGGATGGAATGAAAGAAAAAAGAGGAAATACACATTACTGCTTACCCCACAAACTTCTTCAAGGGTTGATTTTCACAAATGTAGAGTATCTCTTTTGCAGAACAGTGAAAAATGTTTCTTATTCTCTCCATGATCTTCAAAGCCACGATTGTTTTCCCTGTTCCAGGAAGACCAAGGACAAACTGCTCCTTGGCTTTGTGCAGGTTCTTGGAAAGCAGTTCATACTGTCTGAGAGTGAGAAGGTTGAAAATCTCACAGCCAAGATGGTCACTTAGGTAGGACTTAAAGCGCAGCACAACAATCACAAGCGCACGCAGGAACGCGGGGATGTCCCTGGAGGTGAGGATGTAGTTCTCTGGGTACAAGCTGGGGTAATCACATGGGTTTTCTTGCTGGGGAAGTCCATCTTCTGCAACGTCCATCTGGTTCTTCGTGCCATTCAAGTGCAGTATTTGGGGAATCACACACAGTTTTGAAACGTATCCCCCATCATTCACTAGTTTCTGCTTTAATGCAGAGGCTGTTTCTCTGGGGCTTTCAGACTCAGCAGAAGCGGCATCCTTGACTATAGTATATAATACTGGATAGGCATTTTCAGCTACTAAGAGAACATCACACACAACATCCTGTTTTTTCTGCAATCCGATGTCAACAGCCCAACTCCTTGAAAATATCAGTACCCCCTTGTTAAGGCTACGGATTTGTTTTTTCATTAAATCCTCTAATCCAGGATATTCTGAGAACAGGTCGGTGCAGATGGTTTCTGGCTTCCATCTGATTTCATTAGAACCCACTAGAAAAAAGAAATAAAAAATAGAAAAACAAAATACAGCAAATAATTTACTCAATGCACCAGTTACTGGAGGAATATATTATATCATGAGGTCATCAAAGTAGATGATTTAATGTGAGGAAAAAATTCAGCATTCCCATCATACCTCATGGCAAATCTGTAACGATTTTTAATATGAATAAAAGCGATAAAAACTCCATGCTTCAGGCATACCTGACTTCTAAAAGGAGTAAGAAGAAGGGTTCTGCCTCCTTTCTATCTGCCTTCTCATTATTTAGGTATTCCTCTGACAGGAATGCTGCTGCCTTAATGAAAGACCGATGGTTGAAAAAGATGCCACAGCCTGCTTGCAGCATCTCCTACGCTCCTGACTAGTAAAACACAATGCACATAGCAAGGGAAAAAGCACCTAGGAGCGTCATCAGTCTCCTGATGTATAGATACACATTCCCCATTAAATACAGGGGAATACATGAAGATACCTTTCATCCCAATACTAAACTTGGTGCTCCTCCAAAATAATAAGTAACAATGATTTTAAAAAATATAACACAGGTTAAAATTACAAGTATGCACATTCATAACACAAGGGCAAATCTCAAATGCAAGTATACATTTACACTGACTGTGTCACAGCCTTCCATTTAAAAACCATATTCTCATCAGGAAACAGTAGTTGCATATTCTGTACCAAAACACTATTAATAGCAATCAGTAAATCAATCATCTGAGAGTAAGCCTGAAAACAAAATAACAAAAATAATTAGAAAAATTAGAAATTAATATATACATCCATAGGTCAAAATTTGGAAAAAAATAAGCGATGGACTGTGTTTAATGAGAAAGTATCTGTTTGCTGCTGTATGGAAAATCACGCTACCAGGAGTCAGTGTTCACAAAGGAGACAGAGGAGTCCTGTAAAAAACAATTTAAAAACTTCATTCAAATAAAGGGAGAGTCCACAGGACATATTCCTGTGGGGTCTCTCAACCTACAGAGGGACAATGTCCATTCATTGGTACTTTCTCCTACAGGCACCCGAAAGGAAGCTCAGCTGGCACAAACTCTTCCCCTGGCTTTCACAGTCCGTAACGTTCAACCTGGAGACTGGGTCCTCATTAAGGAGTGGGAAGAAGCTCCATTAGTGGCGAGGTGACAAGGGCCCTACCAAGTCCTATTGACAACCGAAACAGCAGACAAGACAGCCAAACACGGATGGACTCACCACACACGAATCAAAGTCTCTGAGGCCCCTGACACGTGGACCTCTGAGCTGGAGGAATCTGAAGGGAGGCTGAACTGACCCTCCACAAGGACTGGTTGAAGCAATAACTTGTGTGTCATCCTCAGGGGAAGCTCTGAGGATGTACTCACAAGTGAAGAACTAACAGCTGGTCTATAAAACTGAGGAGAGAGGACTTGGACACTGAATGGTGAAAGATGCTGTCTTTGGTGGTTATACTAAAAATTTTATGCACTCGGCAAGGGCAGAATCTGACCTGGGAAAATCTATTCTTAACCTTAGGGGAAGAAAGTGCCAAAAATATTGATTTGAGCAACTGCTGGGTCTGTGGAAGTCCAGGAAATTCTGAAAATTGGCCATGGGTAGCCCAGCCTGTTCAGCCTAAATGGTGGGTTAGTAACTTAAGTACAGTCCATAACGGAACTGGCTTTTGGGCTGAGGAGGGGAGCCCATGGCAACTCTGCTTTCCAGGGAAAGGTATTTATTGCCTAAATAGAAACAATGGAGGAGGGGTGTCTGTAGGAGAAAGTACCAGTGAATGGACACTGTCTCCTGGATATGATGGTGTCCATCAAGGCTGTGCATCACTCAGTTGTTCCAAGAATTAAGGGAAAAGGAATCAGACCCATGTTCAGCTTTCTAATAACAGCTGGGTGATGCTCATATGCCAACTTTAAAGGCTCCGGCTGTGACAGGGTAGCTTCGCATCAGAAGTTCCAGTCTGATATCCTGCTTTGTCAGCAGGGTAATACTACAAATGAAAATACATAGCATGGGTATTTCATTGAGTTGGCAGCATTATAATGGGACTAGAACTTACTTCCAAGAATTCAGGTCTAGCACCAACCAAACAACATGGAGAGAAACAAATTGGGGATGTAACTGTACGTGGAGATCGGAGGCAAGGGCATGGTGATGAATTTCTTGTTAATGGCACCATATCCCCCGATGTGATCATTGTGGGAGGACCTGTAGGGCTTGGGAAAACTTTATACTATGGAGAACCAAAGGATGAGAAAACCTGGAATGGCCCTTTCCTAATGGGACTTGGGCTTTGAAGGGTCATTGTTGGATTTCTGGACAACATGCTTATCGCAAACTACCTAAAAACTGGTCAGGAGTATGCTGTGTAGGGTGTATTAGACCACTATTCTTTCTATTGCCTCAAACTCAAGGGAACAGATTAGAAATTAAAGTATATGATGATTTAATGAGAGATTAATGAGAGAAAAGAGATCAATTGATACATTCCTGACAAGGGGGAGTGTATACAATCATGGGGAAAACATGAATGGCCATCTGAACGAATTATACAGTATTATGGACCAGCAACACGGAATCCCAATGAGGTGATTTCTGGAGCAAGGGAACCAATTGACAATTTGAACAGGATAATTAGATTACAAGATGGTTTAGAAATTATAACTAACCAAAGACCTTAGGCTCTCGTTGCAAAACAAGCTACTCAAATGAGAAATGCAATTTTCCAACATCGAATGGTCCTAGGTGAGCAGAAGAAGGAGGTATTTGTGGAAAACTAAACGAATCCAGCTGTTTACAAACAGTTAATTATGGGAAGGTAGTAAAGCAAATAACAAGAGAGATAAGAAAGCTGGCCCATGTGCCAATTCAAACCTGGAAAGGATCTGAGTGGGACATGTTCTCAGGTTGCCTGGTGGACCTCAGGTTAAAGGTATGTTATTTTTCTTTCTCTGTGCAATAGCAGCTCTGATCTTTGTACCAACTACGATACCTTGTTTTATCCAACTAATTCAATATGCAGTTCAGAGAAAGCAGGTGGTGGCCATATCCGAGATGGCGCTGAGGGGACCAAAGATGATGCTGCTGAAAATTGTACATAGTCCAGAAAATACTCAAGATGGGAAAATCAAACTGCTGGTTGCCACATTTTGTGAAGCCAATGACTGAGCAAAAAGAAGAGGAGGGATTGACAGGAACACCAGTTTCCTGTGTTTACAAAAGAAGCCTGTGCACACCCAGGCTCAAGACAAGGAACAAAAGAAGCCTGTGGGAACTCAGACTTAAGATTACAAAGAATATCGAAACTACGTGACCTCTTGAATATGTTGAACCACCTGAATATATGGAATATCTAAATGACATGAATATCTTGAATGTGTCAAATGAATGTCTTGTCTTGAATGTCTCAGGCGG